AGTTTGATTGTGTTTGGAAAAAAAATGGAACTCTCTAAAAAAAAAAAGAAAAAAAAAGGGATAAAAAAAAAGTGGTCAGGTACCTCCTTTGCAGTTTGATTTGAGCATATATGAGTTGTGTATGGAGTATGTTGGTTTGGGATTGAGAAACGTTTTTTTGTTGATTAGAAGGAATAGTGGGGTATGTCGAGTAGTCTATTTACTCGAATGGTATGATTGTTTATTTGAGTCACTTAACCCATATATATATCTTACCCTTGACCAAATAGCCTACATTACAACCTGGAAAGACCTTCTGATTTAAAGTTCATGATTATTGATTGTGTTTGAAGTAGAGGTTTAGATGATTGGCAAACATATAGTTAACTGGGTGTTCAATGTGACTTGAGCGTGTCATTCTCTTTTATATATTGATGACATGCGAGTGAGGCATTTATATATTCCTATTTGAGCGTTCGTTGATTCAAGGTGGATACAAGTTAATAGTCAAAGCATGATAATTATGATCTTTTGAATTTTTCTTGGTTGCATTGAAGGACTTGAAGCTGTTCTAGTTTGATATCACTCATTATGCTTGAGTTCTGATTTTCTTATTCTTGTTCGGGGACGAACAAGGGTTTCAGTTTGGGGGAGTTGACATTCATCATATTTTCATGCATTATGAGTGATATATTGTGATATTTGGTCATGATTATCGCGTGATTGTGCACCATTTCGTTTTATTTATTAATCTATGATAGAGGTGTTTTTGTCGTTGGTTTTGCAGGAAATATGCCCAGAAATGAGTTGGAAATGGAATCGGGATGAAAAACGGCGAAAACGAGTGCAGAAGAGGTCACACGACTCATGTGGATAGTGACACGGGTCGTGTGGGTTGAGGAAATTAGAGACACAGCTACGGCTTTTTCACACGAGTCGTGTGGGTTGAGACACGGGTCGTGTGACCCGGTCGTGTGAGTGCTCGTGTGAGTCTGGGAGTTTGCCAAAAATTTGAGAAAAGTCACACGACTCGTGTGGCATGTGACACGACTCGTGTGACGCGCAGACCAAATTTGCGGGGAATAGGATTCTTGTGCGATTTCTTCCTTTTTTCGACCCAGAAGTGCCCTACAGTGTAAAAGAGGCCTTAGGAACTCGTTTTTGGGACTTTTGACACCATTGGAGGACTAGAGAAAGCACGAAACACACGAGGAATTCGAGGAAGTCAAGATTGAAGATTCGGGAACTAACGGCGACAATAGTTCTTCTTTCTTTTCTCTTTTACTTCTTCATTGAACTCATGAATATATTTATTTTGGGTTTTGAGAATATGTTTAGTAACTAAACCCTTTAGGGATTCTAGGATTTGCGAGTACTCGGATTATTTTATGAAGTGATTTTTTTTATTCATTCTGGTTTATCATTCGTTTATCAATTTCTTGTGCTTTTATCAATTGTGTGAATATAGGGCCCGTATTTATGCATATTTGTGATTGACTTGAGACCGAGAGGAGATAGTTGATTGCTAGAATTGGAAAATTCATAACGTAAGAGACTAAACAGACCGAGAGGTTGATAGAATCTTGCGAGGGAACTAAAATCTTAGGAGCTTATGGGAGTTGATTGTTTATCTTGAGACCGAGAGAAGATAGATAACAATTAATATCTACGATTTAACTTGTTCGAGAAATGGTGTAAATTACTTTAGCGATTATCCCTACGAATGGTAAAATTAAATAAGGTTTGATTGAATAATTAATCTTTGCTAGAATAATCCCGAGGAAAGCATAGCCTAGAATCTATTTTCTCATTCTTGATTTATCTTAGAACAAGCCTTCATTAGTGTTAGAATTTATTTTGCAATCATTCATTAGTTTAGAATAAAATCACCATTCAAATTTGCATTAGACTAAATAAAATTTAATCGTTTACATTTTGATACTTAGTTAATTTTGACAACAATCTCTGTGGAATACGACCTTGCTCGCCACTCACTACAGCTATACCGTACACTTGCGGATAGTGAAAATATTTTGCGAACACTATGCTAGACTTACCTATCAAAAATTGTAAGCAGAATAATGCCCCTTGTGATGTTTGCCATTTCTCAAGGCAAAAGAGGTTACCTTTTCCTCTCAGTCAATCTATTGCTTCTTCTCCTTTTGAGCTTATTCATTGTGATCTTTGGGGCCCCTTTTCTGTTCCTTCTTATGCAGGGCATAGATTTTTTCTAACAATAGTAGATGATCACACTAGAGTAACTTGGATTTATCCTCTAGTGCATAAATCAGATACCATTACCAGCATCAAACATTTTTATAATCTTGTTAACACACAGTTTCACAAGACTATAAAAACTCTAAGATCTGACAATGGTACAGAATTTCTCATGCATGATTTTTTTAAAGAAACAGGCATAATGCATCAAACCAGCTGTGTTGAAACTCCTCAGCAAAATGCTAGAGTAGAAAGAAAACACCAACACATTCTTCAAGTTGCTAGAGCATTTATGTTCCATGCTCACTTACCTGTTCATTTTTGGGTTGATTGCATTTCAGCTGCTGTTCATGTAATAAATAGAATACCAATTGATGTTCTTCATAATAAATCACCATATGAGGTTTTATTTGGTACTGCTGCATCTCTTGATCATCTCAAAACCATTGGTTGTTTATGTTATGCTTCCACTTTGCAATCACACAGACATAAATTTGAACCTAGGGCATCAGAATGCATATTTCTTGGTTATCCCTTAGGTTATAAAGGGTATAAACTTTATAACTTGGAAACCAAGAAAACATTAATATCCAGAAATATTGTTTTTTATGAGACTGTATTCCCTTTCAAAAATCCAATATCTGACAATTCTCATATGCCTTTATTTTCTGAACCTCCCTCTTTTGACCATACTTCAGACCTCAACCAACTTACCTATACACATACAGCTGGTCCTGAGCAAACCATATCTATTCAGCCTACTTCACCTGAATCTACTTCACCTCAATTTTCTCCATCACCAATCTCCTCATCACCATCTCAACAATTACACAGTCAAATGCCATAACCAATTCCAGAAGGTCAAACAGATCCAGATCAACTCCAGCATACCTCAATGCATACCAACACAACCTCAAACCATCATCAAACACAGCTACATCCAATCAGTCTCACCACAATTCTGGAACATCTTCTTTATATCCAATAGAGTCTTTTTTATCCACTGCCAATTTATCTAAAACTCATGCATGTTTTACAACATCAATCACTAAAAATTCTGAGCCTAAAACTTATAAACAGGCTGTCTCTAATCCTCTATGGCAGAATGCTATGCATAAGGAACTTACTGCTTTAGAAAAAACTAACACCTGGTTTTTAACAAATTTACCCCCTGGCAAAAATGCTATAAGTTGTAAATGGGTGTTTAAGATTAAGTATAAAGCATATGGTTCTATAGAAAGATATAAGGCTAGATTAGTAGCCAAAGGTTATACACAAGAGGAGGGAATAGATTATTTTGACACTTTCTCTCCTGTTGCAAAAATAACCACTGTTAGATTACTCATTGCATTGGCATCCATTCATAACTGGCATCTTCATCAACTAGATGTTAATAATGCATTCTTACATGGTGATCTTGATGAGGAAGTTTATATGCTCCCACCACCTGGTTATCTTTCAAAATTTGATTCTAGAGTTTGCAAATTAACTAAGAGCCTTTATGGACTAAAGCAAGCTTCTAGACAATGGTTTCATAAACTTACTCATTGCCTTCTTGACTATGGTTTTACTCAATCCATTTCTGATTGTTCTCTCTTTATAAAGAAATCTGCTGACTCCTTTCTTGCCTTATTAGTTTATGTGGATGATGTTATATCCCACAGAATATTAAGGCATTTAAAACAAACTGTGGGCCAAGGTATGTTTTATCCAAGGAACTCTCCATTGTCTATTACTGGTTTTAGTGATTCAGATTGGGCAGGTAGTATTGATAGTAGAAGGAGTGTGTCTGGTTATGCTTTCTTTTTGGGTAATTCATTAGTTTCTTGGATATCAAAGAAACAACCCACAGTCAGCAAATCATCAGCTGAAGCTGAGTATAGGGCTTTAGCATTTACAATCTGTGAGGCCCAATGGTTGCTATATCTATTACATGACTTGCATATTTCTCATTCATCTCCTGTCTGCATTTTTTCAGATAGTAAAGCTGCAATTTCAATTGCCACTAACCCTGTTTTCCATGAAAGAACAAAACACATTGAGTTAGATTGCCACTTCATGCTTCAACAAGGAACCATCTCAGTCCACCACATTCCTTCCAAAGATCAGATAGCAGACATATTGACCAAACCTCTTGGGAATCCATCATTTTCTGTTTTCACTTCCAAGATGAACATGAAAAATATTCATGTTCCTCTTGAGGGGGGTAATAAAATATGTATAGGTTTCATATTTTATATATTAGAATATGTGTTAGGTTGCACTCTTACCCTCATGTATTGTATTATTTACATTATTCACCCCAAGTATAAATAGGGGATGTTCATCATTGTATCGACACTTTTCATTATTCTGAAATCACAAACCCTAGCTCTTGTTTTCTTTTCTCTCTTGCGTGTTTGATCTTACTCTAATATTTTTTTATTTTTTTTGGGTGAGATGATGCTTTGGGAAACTAGGAGAAGCTATTTGCTTGTCAGTGGCCTCCTTAGTGTTGTTGTTTTTGGGGTTAGGATGTGTTTTTGTTGCTTTGACAGGTTGTTAAATTCTGCTGTGTTTTTTTTTAGTGGAAGGTAGATATGTATATTTTGAGTATTGTGTTAGCTTGGTAGGGTAGCAAGTTTATTTTTCTAAGGCTAGTTTGTTTTGTTAAGTTTAGATAGTCTTTTATCCCTTGGTTTATATAAATCCAATGGGATGGTTCAGTCCCCTTGTACATTTTTTTCTGGTTTTGAATTTTAATGATCGGTTATGAAAAAAAAAAAGAATCTGAATTTTCCATCCGAAGGATCAA